CGTAAAGACACAAAATGACATAACCTCTGTCAGTATCTTTAACATATATGCACTTGTCACGCTCATTGATTCTAAATCCATTTAACAACATAGCGTTGTCAAACTTCTCATGCCATTGCTTTGGCGCTTGTTTCAAGCCATATAATGACTTGACAAGCTTACAGACTTTCTTATTTTTCCCTAGAGCTGAAAACCCCTCGGGTTGTTCCATGCAGATTTCTTCATCTAAATCTCCATTTAAGAAAGTTGTCTTTACATCCATCTGATGTATCTCTAAACCACGTAAAGTGACTATCGCAATTACCATGCGAATGGATGTAATCCTTGTCACAAGTGAATACGTATCAAAGTAATCTAGGCCTTCTCTCTGCTTGTATCCTTTGATTACTAACCCATCAGCTTTCTAAAAATCCACTTACTCCCCAAGGCCTTACTGCCTAGGGTTAGATCAACCAACTCCCAAGTAATCCGGGCCAAAGGACTTTGCAGTCCTAGCCCTCTTACTCCTTCTTAGCTCATCTACATCTTCAGCTTGATCATCAACTTGATCACACAAGTGATCATTTGTTTGATTAGCTATGTAATCATTGTCACCTTCAACCTCTTTCATGGAATTCGTAATACATTTTCAAAGAAAAATGAATTTCTTGATTCCATGATAGTATTCTTGTGTATATCTGGAATAGTAGACTAAACCACAAGAAATCGATATGCACTACTAGATTGTGCATAACCGTTGAATACAAAGTCAACAGATTTTTAGGCTTATCCTAACCCTCATGGGTTTAGGTATTCCCGCCTTTTGCATGACACCCCCACATTTGTAGAATTTATACAAAGGCTTTTGGCCTTTTCCGAAAATTCATACAGAGTCTTTAAACAATTCCTTGTGTCACAATGATTATGAAACTCTCAAAATCATATCACAGTAAATACATTCCCAGAATATCATCAACCGAATTAGGCACCCAAATATATTTGGTCCAACCTATCAATCTGAAGCCAATAGTCTTACTTTTAGGAAACACAAATCCAGTGTTCAATAGTCTACTATATGGAACTTCATAACATGGCCAGTAGTCTTATCACTAGGAATCACTAATTTCTCAGCATGTGGTCAGTAGACTTTCTACTACTAAGAATCATAATGTTCTAACATAGGATCAATAGACTCTTTCATTACTAGAAATCATCATGTCTTGACATATGACCAGTAGCCTCTCTATTACTAGGAACCATGATGTCTTGACATGTGATCAGTAATCTGTTCACTACTGGGAACCACAATCTCATAACTGTGTAGCCAGTGGTCTAACACCTCCTAGGAACCACCAGTTTTTTATCTCTGTGATCAGTGATCTTGTACTCACTAGGAGCCACCAATTTAAGAATATATTTGGAATTTAAAACTCCAAAAAATATTCACCCACTATAACAGGTTGTCATCTTTACTTTCAAACAAAGTCACATAGCAATCATAAATGCTATAAATAACACAAGGATACCATACTAATTGCCTCTGATCAATTCAGAAATGTTATTATGCAATCTTATGATTTCCTTTAATCACACTTGATCTCTCTAGATCATCGTTTAAGAATCTCGCAAGGCTTAACGTTGTCAGGTGGAACAACATTTCTGTTGTCACCTCTTGAAGTCGTTTCTGAAAAATCACAACAGAATTTCATTATTCTGTTTTTTCCATAAACTAAACTTAACACTAGAAAATCCACAGTGGGAAATTTAATTCAAAATTAGTCTCACCACTTAACCTAGAATTGAACATGGTCAAGAATGTTCCCAGAAAGACTGGAGGGGTCACAATGGTCCCACTTAAAACTCAGTTAACCTTTTGACAAAACTTTCAAGAGCATGTTGACTCCTAGTACATGGAAAACAAATTTAAAAATTAAGTTTTTCAGGGGATAAATCAGGTTATAACAAACCAATTCCCAAGCAAATAAAATTTGCTACCAGAATTATATCACTCATAAAAGTTAACCGGTACTCCCGGAACTAAGCCCATTATTTCTGAATAAACTCAAAAATATTTTAGCTAATGCTAAAATTTGGTTCTTTTTTCAAACCAAAACACTTTAGAAATAATCATATTATAACCAAAGACTTTCTCCAAACTTTGTTTTCCAACACTTTGGGAATAAAATGATTAAACTCAAAGACTTTCTCAAACCCCAAAGGTTTGAAACCAAATCCATCTTAGTTGTCATTTCTGAACAAATAAGAACTACTCTTTAGCCAATGCTAAACACTTTGGTTTCTATTCCAGAAAACTAAACCAAGTTCCAAACTTACAAGCAATTTAAAAATTGCTATCCTCAAATACATGCATATAAAATGCTTCTAATAATACAAGCAAACAAAACTTGCTATTACAAATTGGTAAACAAATCAACTAAATCTCAAGCAAAAAATGCTTCAACCATTTAAATAAAATAGCAAATCCATAAGGATTCTATTTAGTCCGAAATCTTTTCCACGCTTAGAAATTCCTGTTCATCACAAAGGTTAGTCATCCAGACTTTTTGTTTTGACACCCCAAATACTATACATTTGGTTTTGTATTTGTTTTTCCATTCCCTTTCGCATAAGTATTCCTGTAAAGAAAGTTAGCAGAAAAAACCACAACAAAATACAAACAAATAATCTAAGCAAAAAATAAATATAATAAATAATTGAAACCATCTAGCCAACTATTTATAAAATTAACCAATGAATTAAAATGCCAATTAAATTAAAACTTTAAAATAAAGTTCAATAGCCATGAGTTATGAATGAAATTAATTCATAATAAACATTTAAACTAATAACTCCAAATAAATAAGTTAAATTCAAAGTTAATACACCAAATTAAATAATTCAGATTAATGCACCCAGTTAAATTCAGAATATTCATGTACATAAATTCATACAAGTTACAAAACTATATAACTCCAAAATACATTAAACTAAAATTAATAGGCAAGAATTATAAATAATTGTTAGAAACCAATAACCATTTAGCAATTAACATGCAAAAAATTTTAAAGATTAAATCATGCAAGAAAACTAAAAGCTAGAAACTAAATAACATGTCAAAACTTGCATAATTTACAAATATTGAATTTTCAGGAAAAAACCAGTGGACTAAAAACCATAAAATTGAAAGTCTATGAGCAGAACATGACAAACTCAAAAGTCATGCAAATCATATTAAAAAAACTGAAAGCAATCAACCATAAATTATCTAATAAACATAAACTAATTATCTAATAAATTGGATTGCAACCATAGACAATGAGAAGTAAAACAGTAGCATGCAATCTTATGAATTTAATTTTATAATTTATGAAAACATCAAAAATCTGTTTTAAGCTTGTTGTTCAAATTGTGAAATTAAATAAATAGATTCACGAATAAATTTTTAAAAAAAAATACCCAGAACACATGTTGAGAATTACAACTAAATTACAACAAAAAATACACAATACAATAAAATAGTAAAGAAAGCAAACCGAAGCCTGCACGGTAGCAGTTTTCTTAAAACAGATTTCGCCACTTCACAGGTCGAGTGCTTGAGGAATTCCGGCGTCTGTCTCCCAGGATACGACGGTCAAAAATTAGCTACGGCAGAAGCACTTTCTGTCTAGCTTAGCGAACAAAACCATGGCAGCATTCTTTCACTACAAGAACTTTCTAGCGAATTGACTTGTAAAAAAGAAGCAAAAATTTCTGTATTTAAGACTTGACAGGAGGGTCTCAATGTATATATGTATAGGGGAGAGAGGAGAAGCCTCCTGCCTTTATGGCTAGTCACTAATGCACCATTAACCACTGCAATAAAGGCAGGAGTTACAAACCCCATTAATGTACTATTAAACTCTGCAATAAAGGCAGAAGGTACAAACCCCATTAACTCTTTCATGAAACTAATTTCATAGGGCAATTTCTCATTCAATTCTTAATAGTTTTTGGCCATTCTATTTGTGGTGTAACGATCTCATTGTAAAGTATCTAGACCCACTTGAACTCAACACAATAGACGGTTGAGACCCACTTTAATATTTAATTAAAGTCACAAAAAAACTATTTTTTCTAACATTATTATTATTATTATTATTATTTATTTATTTAACCCAAGTCATAACATAATTATATACTATTTTTTTATATTTATTTATTTATTTATTTATTATTAATTATATAATTTGGGCGTCACAGTTAGTTCGTTATTTGATTATAAGTTTGTTATTTGATTATAGGATAAAGAAAAAGGAATTAAAGGTGGAGAACATGTGAGTCGCACCGGATAGGTCAATGTAGTGTTTGTTTTGCATCATACTAAACTATTGGGTAATTTTAATATTGATTTTAATATTGATACAGAGTATTAGATGGAGAATGCTGAGGGATTAAATAATACCATAGGTATTAAGGTATTAAAAGGATGAACTCTCTCTGGATTATTTTTCTTCCCTTCATCCAACAATAAAAAATAATCATACTTTTATTTCATTCTAAACAAATGCTATTCATTCTTTCTATCTCATTATTTTTTAAAATATGAATTTTTCACTGTAATTTTAAAAATTACATTTTGCCCTTCAAATTTTTAATAGCATTACAAATGACTCATGTCATTAATAAATAATTAAGTTAATTAATAATTTTTAATAATATTAAAAATATTTTTTAATTAATAATTTTATTATTATATAAAAAAGTAATTAGAATTTTCATTTTTTTCCCTCTAAATTCTATTAAATGAAAATTTTTAATAAAAAAATATTTATAGTATTTTTTTTTGGGTACATCAGAAATAAAAATATGTATAATTTTTAAAGTCATACAAAAAAATTTATATTTTAAGTAAATTTGTAATTTATTATTATTATTATTATTTCTCATTTTGTTCAATTTTTTCTTTTATTTATTTATTTATTTTGTTATTGCTTCACAAAATGAACATTCTCCGAACAACAATATAAAATCCAAATAATGCCCAACCAACCCTCTCCACTCCACTCCACTCCACGCACAACACAAATAACAAATCCATTTTTCCAACTCATTCCCCCTGAAATGCCGAACCCTAACTCTCGGTATCGCTTGCTCACTCACTCAGTGCTGCCACTCCTGATCTGAGTCGCCTCGCCTCGATCGGAGCTCACAAAAAATGGATAATTCAACCCGTCACAAACCGCATCACCGCCGTCAACCACCCACGCGCCGCCGCTCATGGTGCTGCTCCTTCGCCGTCACCCCCCGCAGCCCTGAAAACCCTACCTTCTCTCATCCCAAACCTCCTCCCAAGCCTGAAACGCCCTCGAAATCAGCCGGTTCGTTCCCGAACTCGCCTCAGAATAGCCGGCTTGGCCTCGTTGGCCGGATTGACCCACGCCGGATTTTGTCCCCCGGCCGCGTGTCCCCCATCGACTCCGACCACCCCACAGTCGATTCGCTGCCAGAAATTGTGGTTCCGATCGCGAATGTGCAGTCGAGATCGGTGATGTCGCCGATGCCCGAGGGTTCGTCAGGTTCGGGTTCAGGTTCGGCTGATAATAGTGTGAAGGAGGAGGACGGTAGTTTTGGAATTTTTGATGTGAGGTTGAACTTGAAGGGGAAGAGTGGGGGTTCTCTGGTGCTTGAGCTGAATTCAGAGGTGTTGAGTGCGAGTAGTTCGGTTTTTGCGGACTTGATTGCGGATTATCGAAAGGGTGTAACTGGTTCGGCTGCTAATCTGTGTAGGATTGAGGTTCCTGAGGTGGAGAACTTGAATGTGTTTCGGGAGACAATTGGGCTGATGTTTGATGATGATATCCCTAAGCGGCTTTTGAAGATTGGGGTTTATCGGTCCATCGATATACTTGAGGTGATTCTTTTGGATTTGCACTTTCTTCCTTCTTGATATCTCTACTTGCATATTGGTTTCATGTGGTTTTCAATGACACACTTCTGCTTTGGAACTGTGGTTTTATATATGTATAATGTATGTACATAGGGTAATTATGTTTACCCACCATTTATATTTTTCGGATATAAAAAATTATGAACAAAAAATAAATGTTCGGATATAAACTTATGAATAAAAAGAAATTGTTCAGACATAAATAGTTGACTTTATGAATATTGGACTGACTGGAAGTTCTTATTTTGTGCTGTGAAATGTGTGGAAATATAATTCATTGCATATTGGAGTAACTTAGCTGATGTATTCTTTAGACCATTGCGAACTGCATTGAAACCTGTTAAGAAAATCTTTTACTTTACCTGTCAATTTTTATTAACTTTTTTATATGATTAGAAGCATACTACTGAAATCAAGATTCTTAATAAAAATTTTATCGCGGATAATTTTGGAAAAGTTAGAAGATGATCATGGATAATAGCTAGAATATTGGGAATTTTGCCTACAAAGCTAGCCAAGAAGGGTGGTGGTAGCGAGAGGAGCAACTATAGATACAGGAGGAGCAAAGCTAGCTTAGGCAAGAGGCACTGTGGTGGACTGAGCGAGGAATTTTGATGCAGGACGACTAGGGACAGCAGCAAATGTAGGGTTTTGGGTCTGATTTTAATTGGATTTTATGGCTGCAATTGCAATAAGAATATAGGGGACAAGTAGGGTTTGTTTAGGGTAATAAATAGGTAAGAGTTTAAGTATGAAAAGATGGGATTTTAGCACTGTTTAGGGACTGTTATAAGGTTGTGAATAGTAACTCGTGAATAGTAAATTAAAATAGAAAAGAAAAAGAAAGGAGAAGAAGAAGATAGATCTAGGAATTACTCATAGAATTCCTTAGGTATCACACTTACGATTTGATTGCATTACACAACCCATAAAGAAGATTCAAAACTCTCAACTTTTTTTATAAGATATCAACTCTCTTGAATTATAAACATTACATGACTTGGGGTTGTTTGGGGTGAACTATATAAGTGCATTTTTTACTAAAAAAGTAGAGGAAAAAAAAGATGTATGTTTGGGATAATTTTTTGATTTTTTGCAAAAAAAATGTGTATTAAAATATTGTATCAACTAATAGAATTACCGAAGTACCCTTCTGAGTACTGACATACACTGTGTTGCGTCAGTGCACTGTGTTGACTAAACAATTGATTAGTGAATAGTGTTAACTTTTTTGATTTTTTGGTAACTTTTTTGACTTTTTGTCTATTTTAGATGATCTCAAACAAGCACTTTACATGGAATTAAGAGACTTCCTAAACTAACTATAACAAAAATAAAAAAGAAACTACTATAATATTTTTGCCTTCTAAAACTAATTTAAAATTAAATAAGAAACATAAATAAAATTAATTAAATAACTTGATCCACAAGACAATCCATAGATGATTCATACGACCCATGTTAGCAAATATAAAATTATCAAAATATCCCTAATCTTAAAAATCTTAGAAAATATAAAAATAATAATAAAATAAGACTCTGATAATACTAGAAATATAATTATGGAAGATTTCTATCAGTTTCTCTATAAAATGATGCCAATGTCCAAGTATCATCACTTTTCTGAATTTAACCTCTTTGAACTTCTTATACTTTGCATCAAGTTTTCTTGAGAGAAATTTCTAATCTCAAGCAAAGATTGAAAGGGAATGATATTCATGTTAGTGATGGAGGATTGATTTCGGAGGCGACGTTAATGAAGGCAGTAGTGGAGAGTCGTTCTGTGGAGGAAGAGAATTGGAAGGTGGTTGAAGATTTAGAGGGATATGATGGCAAAGGAAGAAGAGGTAGCAGCAAAGTTGTTCTCGACAAATCAATAGAGGTCGGAATGGATGGACTATGTGGGATGGAGGGCGCCGGAGATTCTTGATGGTGGGTGGCTTTTGGAAGCAGGGCAGATGGGAATGCCAAAGGGTTGTTGGAAACATTAGTGACGGTTGCGCATGGGCTTAGTCTGTGCAGGATTGTGGCAGAGGAAGTGGCGCCAAATTTCAATGCATCTCAAGTAAAAATTTTAAATTTTGAAAAGGTAGCTGGTGTAGAGACTAGGTGGCAGCCATCTACTGTTATTGGAAATTTGAATTTTGAAAGGGCAAGTGTGAGAAATAGGTGGCCCCACAATGGGGTTTTAGGGGGGTAAGTTTGGTTCAGGCTCTTGGAACAAACTAAAATGGCCCATTGAATCAGTCACTTTTTTCTTCAGCTTCTAATTATTCTACTAGTGCAGTGGCATAGTCTAATGATCTTAATTCGTTTATTAAAGAGGTCCCATCACACAAGCTTAGATCTTTAAACAAGAGAAGTGCAAAACTTTCGTCCTTCACAATCAATTTGAGGTGTTGGATATATTTTCAGAGATTTATTCTAATGTTGAGGTTGGAAAGGGAGTGAACAGTGACTGCAAAGGCTCATCTTTGATGAAGGATTTGGAGAGCAGCACACGTAAGAAGGAAGAGTTGGGTGGGGCCGCAAAGCTCAATATTTCTATTTGTTTCTTCCTCTTCATCACGTCTTCAGGAGCAAAGTAAAGTCTGAAATGGTGGTTTGCAAGGGGGTGAAGATTCTAAGCTTGGGTTACCAGTGGTAGAGATGGAGGTGCACCAAGGAGTCATTACTTGGAAACAAAAGCGTATGTGATGGTGTGAAAGAGGTAAACAAGCAGGTGTGAAAGAGGTAAACAAGCAAGTTGAGATGCTTGCTATTGCTAATGATGGTACAAATTCAATGGAAAATGTGAGAAAAATTAAGGGTACAAAGCCACTATTGGTAAAGGGACATACAACAAAAATGAAATTTTGAAGAAATAGATGAAAATGAAAGATCAAAACTCGCAAAGTGAAAGTGTTTTGGAGAATTTAAACATATTTTGGATGAAAGAATTTGCACGAGTTTTGGGTGTAAGAATTTAGTGTGTATTGGGAGTTTTGTTATTGTTTGTTGGTTTCTTGCCAACCAAATGTGCACGTTTGTTGCATCAAAGCTTTCCCAAATTGATGCTTATTCATGATTTGCTTTCCTTCTTGTAATGTTTTATTTATTTAATAAAATTTTACTTCTTTTGCCGATAAAAAAAGAAGGGAATATTGGGAATTTGGATGGATTGTTGTAATTTATTAACTTGTATGTGTGTGACCCTCGTAAATTTAGGAAGCATGTGGCATCTGGGAAAAACTCACATTTTGCTGCATGCCTATTGTTTGCATTATCTTATAAGGGTAAATTACACTGACACCCCATTGGTTCTCCTAAAATATCACTGTCACCTCCTTATTCTCTAAAATATCACTTACCTCCGTTACTTTAGAATTTTGTGAAACACATGGACCCATCCGTTAGTCGACTGTGAATTGACCTAACAGAATTTGTTGATTGTCATTACTTTAACATTTTTAAATGCCAATATTGCCCCCTTCAATTAAAATAATCTAAAATGCATTGTATTAATTTTACTAAAGTAATAATTACGTACCACACACCATCTTTCCTCTCTCTCCTTTCTTATTCACCACCACGACTCACTGCTCCAACTATACAGTGTCACAACCACCACCAAACGATTTCACCTCCACAGCCCCAAATCACCAGCCCTTCTAACCATGAGTCCACCTCCATAGCCCCTCCACTGCCAAAAATAACATCTTGCTAATTTGGGTTGAATGGTGCTTCGATTTGGAGAGAGGTGAGATGAGAGAGAGAATGGTGCTTTGATTTGGTCATCTGCTTTTTGAGGGATTGAAGAAAGCACTTGCCATTAATGGAAGTAAAGAAGGAACAATTTTTGGGGGAAGATGGTGGTTTTGTAGCGACCAATTTTGGGTTGAAAGGTGTGATAGTTGTCAATGCTGCGAGGGACGCGGGTAGGGTGGTGATGGCAGTGACAAGACTCTTGTCTACTATTGATTTTTACACCACAACAATTGTTTCTCAAATTGTCATGGATTTGGCACCGATAGATGGTCTGGTTTGACCAAACCCTAACTAGAGGTGGGTATAATGGAATGGGGTGTTGCGTTTGTGCATTATGAACTTATGACTGAGATGCGATTGAGGTAGGTGGTGGCTGTGCTTGGTAGCTGTGGGGGTGGCTCTGTGTGGAGGCTGTGTTGGTGGTTGCGGTGGAGATTCCATGTGCTAGTTGTGGATGGTGGATCTGCATGGCATCTGTGTGTGGTGCTTGGGTGTTAGTTGATTTGTTTGAATCAAGGTTTTTAAAGGTGAATGCGTATCTCGAGGCATTTTACCCCTCATGAGGCGAGGCGTAAGCCTTAGGGCGTTGAGGCGTAAGCATTTCATATTTCAAATTTTAATATTTAGTGAATAAATTAAATATTTTAATATGGTAAAACAAATAAAAACAAAATTAAATATAAAGGTGTAAATTCATTTCTCCTTAAGGTTTTGAACATTTTACTACATAGAAGGAATTTTTCCTTCACTGAAAGTGAAATTGATATTCTTAATTTTAGTGATTGAGCATCTCATTTGGCCATTAACTATGTTTTTTCTTGATTGATCATTTACTTAATTTTTCCTATAGAATATAGTTGCAAAAAGGAATTCCTTTTATTTTTTTATGTTTAAACAATCTAATAGACTAAGTTTAAAAAAAGTCCAAGGCAACCTCTGCATGTGCATACTCCTCACATGCTTATGCGCAAAAAACGTACAAAGCACACCTAAGGCGCATGTCTCAAACTATGATGTGCAAGCCTTTGGGAAGTAATGCCTAAAAATCAAAGCCTTGATGCGTTTTATCTTAGCCTCGAGGCGAGGCGAGGTGAGTATCGAGGCGAGCCTCAAGAAAGCCTTTGAAAACTTTGGTTTGAATAGGTTGTTTCCTTGTATTGTATGTTGGTTTGTGGCTAGGTTAGAGTTGTGTTGCTTGAATTACACAAAGGTCCCAC